AAAGAAAATGTTGGTTCGTTGTACTTATTTTGCCATGCAATTTCTGGGCCTGCATTTGTGTTTATGCTCACGTCTGTAGCAAAGGATGTCAGTCATGTGCTATACTGTAAGAAAGCACGTTTCCTAATAATTTGAACAGATAAGGTAATAATGGGAGAAAGAAATCACTGCACAGCATGGGGCATCCACACCACCAGAGCACTTAGGGTTCTTCTACCAAAGTACAAACTTTGCAACAGAGCTCACTTGTCAGCAGGTAGGTAGTTGTGGGAAAGAAATTTTCTGTTTTTGTTCCAGTCATAACAGATTGGACAGTCATTAGATACAGATAAAGTAGCACTAAACTGCTAAATGTACCTTAATTTTACAGTTACAAAGTTCACTTTTGGACCCCAAAATATGTAACTAAGTCTCATTCTGATAAAAATGTTATACAACAAGAAGCAATAAAAGCATAGTAATGATAGTCTTCGAGGAAAGATATGAAACAGATGCATATTTAATAAAACAGCAACTGAGCAACAAATAATGTTTTTTCCATAAGTGATTTTCTTTTTCTCTCTAGACATACATAACAGAGTTAGGACTCAAGAAATACTCCCTGTGAAAGATGGGATCACTGCTTCATTGGCCAGAAAATGCCAATCATTAGTGATTTCACCACAAGTTAACCAAAAACTTGGGCACAATGGCCAGCAGGAAGCTTTATTTTTGGCTAGGAAAGAAATCCTAGAAGCTTCCGGTTTCAACGTGAATTTTTTTCAGCAGAGTCCCACACTTATGAATGAATAGATGACTTTAAGTCTTCCAGGAGAATATTTCTGTGATAATTGGCTCATACCATATAATGGCAGGCTTTGTTTTATGAATGCTATTGTATTTAGTCAATGCCATCAGATGAAATCAATGTTGCTAACAATTTTTTTTGGCTTTGGAAGCTCTCCACTGTCACCTTTGAACATAACTCCTTTATTCTGTTTCTCTGTTTGTCCTCTGGGTGGGGACATTCAGAGATCAGTAAAAAGCAAAAGCAATACTACCAACAATTTAAAAATTCTTCCTCTTTTTGGAAGAAGCCTGGTACCCAGGCTGGAGTGCATGATCCTAGCTCACTGCAGCCTCAACCTTCCAAGATCAAGTGATCCTCTTGCTTTGGCTCCCCCAAAGTGCTGGGATTACAGGCATGAGCCACTGTACCTGGACTTAAAAATTACTCTTCATATTAAGATTAGATGCAGCTTTTTCAGAACAAACAAAGATTCATATTTAAAGAATGGTGCTTATGAAAAACATCAACAAACATGGTCTGAAAGCTTCTTAAATTCCCTACAATTAGCGGAAGGAAAAAAGTTATATAAAGATAGAAACTGCCAAAACCGTCTTCCATCAGTTATTATACAGCTGCTCAGCCTTTAGACACCACAGACACCACACTTCACCCTGGAGAAAAGCTTCTCTCATCCATCTCCTCTCCCCTCACAAGCTTGCTGCATGCTTTTTGAAAGGCTCTCTCAACATTAGGTCACTACCCACCACCCCCACCTCCACCATGCTTGTATTTGTTTTACACTTGCCAGTTTGCTTCTGCCGGCTCATCTGGCCCCACTGGTAGAATGCAAACCCACTGTAGTAAAACCCACAGCAATAGCCCTGCTCTGTAGTGTACACAAGCCATAGCCAGCAAGCAGTAGGTGCTCAAAATCTGTTGCATGACTGAAATCTGGATAAATCTTTAAGTAGTGTTGACTGGTGGCACTAGAATTAAACACACATTCCAGACTATATATTTATTTATTTAGAGACGGAGTTTCACTCTTGTTGCCCAGGCTGGAGTGCAATGGCATGACCTCGGTTCACCACAACCTCCACCTCCCAGGTTCAAGCAATTATCCTGCCTCAGCTTCCCAAGTAGCTGGGATTACAAACATGTGTCACCATGTCCAGCTAATTTTGTATTTTTAGTAGAGACGGAAGGTTTTCTCCATATTGGTCAGGCTGGTCTCGAAATCCCGACCTCAGGTGATCCGCCTGCCTCGGCGCCCAAAGTACTGGGATTACAAGTGGGAGCCACTGTGCCCAGCCCAGACTATATACTTCTGATGAGCAAAAGCATGTTTCTGTGCTATAAAATTACAAAACAAACAATAGTGCCTTTTGCTTACCAGGCTTTATTGGAGTATTTTTCAAAGTATGAAAATCTAGAATTACTCTTAATTTTCACGTCGAATTGTCTAACAGAGATTTCAAATGCGGCTTATGGGGCTTGGCAGTCCAAGTGAACATTGGAGAGTTCTTAAAAGTTGTCATATCAGGCTGGACGTGGTGGCTAGTTACTGTGGAGGCTGAGGCAGAAGAATCGCTTTAACCCGGGAGGCGGAGGT